CTTTCTTCTTTAGGATATCATGAATGTGATATATCATTGCTACGATTTTTTCTAGTTTAAAAGAAATTTTAGAAGAATTAGTTAATAATTTAGAAATTAGAAAGTTTTAGAAATTAATTAATTATTATTAAATTATTTAATAGTATTATATGAGTTAATTTATTAATATATTATATTAATATTAATTAATTTTATTATTATATCATCTTTTTTAATATTATTTATAATATATTTTAGTTATTATATAATAGTTATTATAATAGTTACTTATTAATCAGTAATAATATTATTATTTTTTATATATAATATATTAGTTATTATATATAATAGTTATTTTATTTTATTATATTATATTAGTATTATATTTACAATATATTTTAGTTATTATATAATAGTTATTATAAATAGTTAATAATATTAACTAATTTTAATATTATTATACTTGTACATGATAATAGTATTTTTTACAAGTAGTCATTTATTATGAATTTGTAAAAAACGAAAAAATAAATGTATACTTAAAAATATATTTCATTTTGTTCGAATCATCAGTAATAATATTTTTGTTCATATTCGTTTTAATATTTTTGTTCAATATTCGTAATAAAGTATCAACAAATCAACATACATACATATATATATATATAGTTAAAACGCGTAATCCAAACACGTTGCTAAGTTGTCTCGTTGAGTGTAAATTATTGCTGATGAGATCATCGGAATAGTAAAGTCGTGATTACGAGTCTTTGAGTAAGAAAAAATATACAACAACAGTCTGTTCTAAGATTAAATAGAAATTCGTTTCAATTGATCCTCTATTGGTCACATTACTAAATGCACGCGAATGTAATCGATGAATCATATCCTTTTTTATTCTTTTTTTTTTTTTTATTATTATTATTATTATTCATAGTATGATAAAAATACACCTTTGTACATTAACAAGTATACACATTAATATTACATATAATATACGTATAATATGTAACAACAAATTATTACATTATTAGTACATGTAATAATGCGTACAGATAGAAATTCTCGAATGAATATAATTAATAGAATTATTTTTATTATATTTTTATTTGTTTTTTTTTTTAATATTTTTTTTTTTTTGTATACATCGAAGACCGATAGATAAAGTACCCTGTTGAATTAGACAAACCCTGATTCCGGATAATGAGCTGAAAATAGATAACTATAAATATCTAGACTAGAAGAGAGGTAGGATACGCGTCTCTTCTTCTTCTTAACGCTTTCGAAGCATGACTCAACACGTTTTGTGAACTGTCACAAAAAGCATTACACGTCTCTCTCTCTCTCTCTCTCTGTCGTTTAAATGAACGAGAACATTCCTCAACGCGATTTTGACACAGATGTAATAAGAAAAAAACATGATGATTTTGTCTAGTTGGAAACAAAAAAAAAAAAAAAAAAAGAAAAAAAAATACAACAGAAACAATAATTCGCTCATATTTTTTATAATACAACTCGTACTCTAACATGTGTGTGGATGTGTGTATGTGTGTAAGATATTTTTAAAATAATTTAAAATTATATTGTTTTAATTATATTGTACTTATCAACATTTATAATTAACATTGATTTTATTTACAAATACAAAACAAAAAGAAAAAAAGAAAAAGAGAAACAACGTGATGCATCGACGATCAAAATTTCTATTAAAATTTGTATTATATTTATGCATTATTTTTTTCTATTTTTTTTTTTTTTTTTTTTTTTTTTAATAATTATAGACACGAATAATAATCACAACCTACGTTTTTATTTTTTATTTTATTTTTAATCACAAGAAAAAATCACACAATGATAATTTAAAAATCATTATAAACTAATTCGTCAAAATTCTATTTTTTTATGTTAAATCTTTTTAAGCAACAAAATCTAAAATAATGATAATAAATAAATATATATGTATATATAACGTGTATAAAGAACAATAGAAAAAAAAAAAAAAAGAAATAAATTACACAGTTAAAATAATTAATAAATATTAAAGAGAATAATACGATTCAACATTGAGCAAAGATTAGAGCAAAACTAAAGTATTTAAATCAATTTTTTCCTTTTTTAATCCAAATCTAATCGTTAAATTATAATTTCAATAATAAAAGCACAAAAAAAAATCAGAAACGAACTCTCATAA